AGCTGACTTGCTAAGGAATATGTCAAACAAGTTGGTATAATAGTTTATAAATTTGATCCAATCTATTATGCTAGTTGTATGTGTATTGTTAATTAATGACGAGATTGAGAATGTTGAGGGGAAACAATGGAAAATTGAGGTGTTAATTATGGGAGAGGTGTCGGGAGGTAGTTGTTTGTCTCTTATTTGTGCCACAGAATGGTAAGATTTTTCGTTGCTATGATAATATTACATTCATTAATAATCCTACTAAAGGGGACTTTGATTTATCTATTAATATACTCGGGGATGTTTGTGTTGAGGATTGTATATAGATATATATTTATCATTGATAACTGTGAGATGTCAGTAAGAGTTTGATAAAAAACTGTCCAAAAAATGGCCCAGAAGTTGAGGTGTAATGTATATGTAAGAGTGAGATCAGGCTTTATAACTGATAAGTTGTTACTACTTAAGTTGTGATATAGATATATGGTGGAAGGTTGCGTGGTTGTGAGAAGTGATGTGATTATTATTTGAAGGATTGGTTGCATTGCACATGAGAAAGAATCTAAAAGTTCTTGAATGTTGTTGAGTAAATATTTTGAGTTTGCCCGTGTAGTATACCAGACAGATTTGAGATCCTGAATATTTTTTTCCTTGATATAAGGTTGGACTGGGCATGAACATAGGATTATTTTTTTATTGCTAAGTTGATAATGGATACCTTTAATAATTGTGGAGGGAAAAGCATTAATGCATATTTTGATGAGATTGATATAGTTATTATCTTGAAAAGCCCAAAATTTAATTTTTGTTTTGTTTGGGAGAAATGATGTATTGCTACAGATAGTTACAGAGGTATTTGGAATAGTAAAGAACCAATTGGGAATAGGGCCAGGTATTATTCGTCCTCTGTATGTATATAATTCTTCCCTAGTTAGTTTAGTATTTCTTTTGTATATGTATGTATTTAAATGGTTTTAATATTAGAGTAATATAGTGAAAGAGCAGTTGCTTTTATAAGTTTGGTATTTAAGCCAATTGAGTTCTCATGGTTAGTATGATTAAATGGGCAGGGGAGTGGACAGATTCTGATGTTATATCTCTTGGCTAATAGGGCTGCTGATATTATCCATGAATTGATAAGTAATAAGGAAAATAGATTAGGCAGCACTAGATTGCTTGGGCAGCTTGTATTGATATGATTTCTCTTGAGGTAACAAGAAAGATTTTTAGATTGGTAAGTTTGACTGTCAAAATTTTAATAGTGGTGAGATCACAATGGTTTTGAAGTTTGACAATGTTGAGACTTGCTAGTGAGTATAAAATTTTATTGAAAATAGTACACTCGACACCTAATTTTGCTTTAATTGGTTTGTTCATTTTCCTTTGAAGGATGTCCATTTCGTTATCTAATGGGACTACAGCATTGATGACATATTCTAATTGTGCTGGTATAATCCAATAAGAAGCTTATCTAGTCATTAAGCCATTCCATCCTTTTTGTGATGAAATTGCATTGATGAACTTTTGGATTTTTTCTAATAGCTTATTTTTTGTAGAACAAGATGAAGATTTGCCTGAGAGATAAACTTTAAGGTATCTGATGCCCTCCTTATATGGTCTAAGGTAGATTTTTTTCCCTTCAACTGTGAGGAATTGGTTTCTTTTTTGATTGGATGTTTTGAGATTGGTGATTAATTCAGTTTTTTTGTGATTGCATTTGATGGAATTAAGAGATAAGAAGGAACAGTAGATGTTTGTTACTTCTTGGAGGACTTACATATTAGAGCTTACTAAGGTGACATTATACATGTAAACAAAGATTTTGGAGGTTGAAGAGTATTCAGTTGATATTTTGGTTACTACAGGATTATAAAAGATGGTCCAAAGTAATGGAGCTAGAGGTTCCCCTTGGTTGATCCCTTTGCTTACTTTTAGGGGTTTGGTAAGTCATAATAGGTTATTATTTTCAGTTCTCTTTCATTTAAGAGATCGGTGATGAGTGAGGTGAATTTGTTTGGCAGTTAGATGCAATTCATTGCTTTCTTGAGGCTGGTGATATTGACAGAATCAAAAGCTTTGGAGATGTTGAATGATACTACCCATATTTCCTTGTTGAGATTATTAGCGATATTGATGTATAAGCTAATAATTGCAATTGGCTCAGTGGTACTTTGGTTTTTAAGGCCGACAAAATTGGATTCTAAGAGAGCATTATGCCTTAGAATACAATTAGCAAGTCTGTCGTTAGTGATTTTTGTAAAAATTTTTCTGCTTGTTTCGATAAGCGAGATCAGGCATATGTCAGTGAAATCGTGTGACCAGACAAGTTTTTTGGGTAATACTGTAATGGCTGATTGTTTTCAGAATTTAGGAATTTGACCTGATATTAAAATGTTGTTGAATAGAGCTAAGATAATTTTTTTGCATGTGGACCTATTTGGATCCAAGCTTCATAAGGAATAAGGGTGAGCCCGGGGGCTTTATGTTTGGGAAGGTCAGTGAGGGCTTCTTCCAGATCCTACATAGATAATGTTGAAACAAGATTATTATAGGCATTGTCAGGAATGTGATTCAGTGGTTCATAATCTGCTAACCATTCGTTATTAATAACAAATGGTTTGGAGTCTAGGATTTTTTTGAAGTAATCGAATATAATAGTTGCAAGCCTGTCAGGGTCATCATGGAGTTGGTTGTCTTCTTCTAGGAGGATTGAAAGGTTGAGAGAGGGTCTCAGATCTCCTAATGCTTTTTTGAGAGTGTTTTTAGGCCTGGTCCAAAATCTATAATAATTCGATTCTATACCCTTTTGTATTTCTTGGATAATAATATCATTTAATTTAAATAATTTTTCCTTGATTAAAGTTTTCAGCAGTTTTTGAAGATCTTTGGTGCAGGAACGATTACTGGTAATTTTTCGTAAAGCTGATGAGGTGATGGCTGGAAGTCTTGAGAAAACATCTTTACTGTTATTGTTTTTTGATACATTAATTGCTCTCTTGGTGGCTCTTATGGCACTGGAGTAATGTTTGAGAGGGTCTATGTTACGGATGGGTGTCATATACTTTCGCTTTGGAATGTTATTGTCAAGAGAGTTTTTGATGGCATTATTCATAAAGTCCTAGGTTGAAGTGTTGCTTGTTAGGCATGCAAGTTCAATATCCTCTTTGAATCCTTTTATGTTTTCTGGAGTAGCATCCTTGAATTGATAAATATTGGTATTGAAGCATATTCTATTAGGTTTATATTTAAACCAATCTAATATAATGGTCACTTGTTTATGATCGGAGATTATGGCCATTTGTTCCTGAACTTTATATGAAAGTATTTTGCTTGCCAGATTACTGGTGATCCATACTTGATCAATTCTAGAA